GGGGGTTGTTGGAGTGTAATGCAGGTGATTTACGCCTACATCAACACAATTTATATCATTTAAGAGGCATGCTTCCGACCCTATCTTTCAGGACCAATCAGGGATAAGAGGGATACAGTGTACCAGCAGAACGACAGAAATATTTGATTATAATTTCTCCCCACTTGAGAATCGAACTAGGGTCTCCTGCGTGCGATAGCTACTGGCTAAAATAAAAAGCTAAGTCGTTCGAACGAGGCAGCATGTTGGTCGTTCAAGAATACTCAAAGTAAAACTCTTTTTTTTTCTTTCTTTGTTTCTTTGTTTCTTTCTTTCTAGGCTTTGTCCGTCCACTGTAGGATCTAGCCTTCCAAAAACGACCCCCCCCCTCTTCCCTCTGTTTTATCAGCTGTCTCCGTGTCCAGGCTGTACCCGTCTGATCTCTGGTGTCGTCATCTTGCTACCTTCTCTCTGGTCTTCCTCTTGATCTCTTCCCTGTTCTTGGTCTCCAGTTTGTGTATCTTTTTAATCCGTCTGTTGTTCTTTCACTATGTCGATTTGGACAACCTATCTGTATTTGTGTAATTTTGTAAAACTGTTACTAACTAAGAGTGGGTGTTTGGCGGGTCCTCTGGTGTGGTTTGCTTCTTTTTACCTATCAAAAATCCATCGTCCTTTTCTCCCCACCTTCTTTTTGTGTTTGTTACACTTTTGTAACACCTCTAGACTTCGACACTTATGTGACTTATTGTGTTGCAAGTGCCGTAGAGCTCTTACTAAAACGTAAACAAAAAATTAATAAAGACACAATTTCTGTCCCCAGGCACATGTATAGGCGCGGTGCTGATCCCAGGAGTGAGTTTGATCAGGCACTACTTCCACAGACGGGTGTCTCTGGCTAACACTATGGCCAATGTAGGAACCAGTGTGGCCATCATAGCTGTACCGCCGATCATCACCATACTCAAGTCAGTCTGTGTGTGTGTGTGTGTGTGTGTGAGTGTCTGTGTGTTTGTGAGTGAGTGTGAGTGTGAGTGTGAGTGTCTGTGTGTGTGTGAGTGTGTGTGTGTGTGTGTGTGAGTGTCTGTTTGTGTGTGTGTGAGTGAGTGTGTGTGTGTGTGTGTGTGTGTGTGTGTGTGTGTGTGTGTGTGTGTGTGTATGTGTGTGGGATTTTTTAGAACACCTGAGTGGAGAAATGAATGAAAAACCATGATCGCAGACGTCTGTTTCAGATCTGACGCTTTTTGATGATCCCCGATCAGTATAAAAAGAAAAGTTACTTAGATAGATAGGAAAGTTATTTTTTCCTTTAGAAACGAATTTAGACAGAAAGTTGTTGTTGTTGTTGTTGTTGTTTTAAACAGTTAGAGAGAGCGTACAACCATGGATGTGTTAGACAGAGGATAACACCATGGATGTGTTAGAGAGTTACAGGATAACACCATGGATGTGTTAGAGACTTAAAGGATAACACCATGAATGTGTTAGAGACTTAAAGGATAACACCATGGATGTGTTAGACAGTTAGAGCGTAACATCATGTATGTGTGTGTTGTATGTTCCAGTCACGAGTACGGAATTCGGGGAGCCTTCCTTATCTCTGCGGCGATGGAGTTACACATGATGGTGGCTGGCATGTTGATGAGGCCTGTGAATGCCTACAAGTGAGTACATCATTTTCTTTGTTTGTTTGTTTGACAAAGTGATACACATGATGGTAGTTGGCATGTTGATGAGGCCCGTGAGTGCCTACAAGTGAGTACACTGCTTTTTGTTTGACTGTTTGTTTGTTATTTTTTGCAAAGAGATGCATATTGACGAAATCACGATTGTTTAGTGTAGAAAAAAAGCTAGAGTATAACCCAGCAGAACAATTTCTCACAATTTTCTATTTCCTTGGGAGGCTAATGAATATAACTTTAAATTGCTGCTGGGATAAGTTTAAATAGCACTAAGACCTCTTGGCTAATTTCTCCGTCTAGTTTTTTTGGTTTCTAGGCAGCTATTCAGTTTCTACAACTGTGTAAAGATGTACAGTTTCTACAACTGTGTAAAGATGTACAGTTTCTACAACTGTGTAAAGATGTACAGTTTCTACAACTGTGTAAAGATATACAGTTTCTACAACTGTGTAAAGATATACAGTTTCAGTACCAAGGTCTGTGGTGTAGCAGTTAGACGTACCGTGGTCGCATGCACGAGACCTGAGTTCGATTCCCGAGCGGGGAGATGTTTTATCGAGTATCTCTGTCTTTCTGCTGGGATGTTGTATTCCTCTCAGTCCGGGTTGGCCCTGACTGGGATGGTCAGATCTGAAGCCCACGTTCTAAATGATCTAGATTGTGATGATAGGGGAGTAATAACTTCTTTAAAAAGTATTATTAAGGAAAAAAATCAGTCTCACTTTTGAACCCC